GAAATTAATTACCCTTTTTTTTTGCCAGAAAACTATAATAATTAAACAATGAGCACATATTTTATCCACTTCCTAAATATTATATATTTTTTGTTTTCTACCCAAAATTACATATATATTTTTTTTAACATGCAAACCACTAAATAAAATAAATTATCATTTTAAGGGAAAATTTATACACATAAATCACATTTGAATATGATGAAGAAATATATATACTTTTTTTTTTTAAAGACGACGAGTCTACAGAATCTACTAAACTCGTGCTTTGATACCATTCTATAACGCCCCGAACACTTTTTCATTATTATTGTTATTTTTAAATAAAAATGAGTTCGAGGTGCTACCAAAATTTTTTTTTTCTAATTTAAGCGGAAATGTAACTTTTTATTTTAGTGATCAAAATGTGGTCGACAATTCAATAATGACAAAATAATGATTTAAAATAAAATCTTGAAATATCCCATCTCAAACTGTAAATTAAAATTCAATATAAAGTGTCGAATGCTCGTACTCTAAGAAAAATATTAAATACCATGCATAAAAATTAAAATAATGATATTCTTTTAAATAGAATTTGACGTTTATTTTTCTAGAAACTTTACTTGATGACCCCATAAGCATCGTCAGTCAATCTTCCACTCGTCCACACGATCCGTTCTAATTTGAAAAGTATTGTAAGAGTGAGTATTTTGAAAACACTCAGTAAAAATACGTGCATATTCTTATAATATGATATAAACATAATATGACATAACATACCGACGTGTCTTAAATTTAAAGCAAACTGGTCGCGATTCCAATAGCTCAAGAAATTTTTTAAGAATCCCCATATCCCATGAGATTTAATCATATTGACCCAAAGGTCCATCCCGTAGGATTTCACTTCTTTTCTTTGACCTGATGGTCCATCCCGAAGATTTAATATATAATTCGACTTGAAGGCCTTATAGTATTTCATGCCAAATTAACATAAATATCAAGAATAAGAAAAACTACTTTTAAGATTCACCATTTAATTCCAAACGCATTTGTTTAAGAGTTTATGGGTTAATTATATCAATTAATACCAAAATTAAGGGGCTTAATTATGTTAAAGTTATAATATCCTTTCAAAACCCAAGTAACCGTACTAAAATCTGTTTCAATCTATTATTTTATTATTATTTACACTTTATTTATTAATAAAATATAAAATCTAGAATACTTTCTTTTTATCAACATAACTTGGGTATAACTAGCCTAAAAATATTTCTTCTTGAGCTAATTTATGTTATTCAACACGAGCTACATAACATGTATAATATTGATATATTTTATAAATTTTCTATAATCTTTAAATAATCAACCCTAAATAAAAGTTACAATAAATTTATATAACTAAGACAATAAATCTTTTTTTTTTTTTTTTTTTTTTTGCAATTAGATGGGTTAACTTATCATATTAACCTTTAGACCTTAATGTGACAACAATGCTGGACATGGGCTACCTCATTCATAAAACAATCAATATTGATTTTTCTCCATATGAAAATATAATTAAAAGTCGGGGCGTCACAGTTACGAGCTCTTGAATAGGAACAAGACCAAGAATATAATTGTTCAACGATCAAAATTATCTGTACCACATAGATTTCCTCCATCTCAAGTTCAAAATATGAACCCACATGTCATAATTATGGTATTTTAGGTCACATTAAACGTAATTGCCGTATGTCCTTGGTTGGTACAACCATCAAGATCTAACTATTCATGTTAATTTCTTGACTGACCAAGCGAGTCACTTAATAGAATTGATAACTCAACTGACTCAGGTTACATGTTCTTCTAAGAAGATTTGGGTCAAGAAGAGTGAACTCACAAATCTAAATGATGTTAATACTTGCAATGTTCCTCACGTTGCTCTTCATGGTAAGAGCATTTATGCCTCTCATTGATTAGACACTCATGTGCATGAATCTACATTTTTCATGAAATCAATATATTCATGCATGCACATTCACTTATCGTATATTTAGAGTTATTTTTGCATGTTTGCTTTATTATAAAAGTAAAAAAATAAACAAATAAGAGAGAGTTATTTTTTTTTAATTATTGGACATGTTATTTTGCTATCAAGTACTAGCAAGGTTCATAATTGGTAAATTAAATTTCCATTAATTTGTTTAAAACTTGTTTGGAGTACATGTATTTTATGCAATGCACAAATTAGGCTCTTGTGAGTATGTTTTAACTGCATGTATGAGATTTGGGATACGATCATTTGTGTTGTGAATTGAGTTTTCAATATGGAATGACCTTTAACTAAATTGATCTAAAACTTTAGTATATTTCCCATTAAAAGAAAAAGATGGCTGAGATTCAAAAATTTAAAAATATATGAAAAAATAATTCTTTTTGATTCTTCTTCGAAATCTATTTAACTCAAGCAATTAAGTCTAAGGAAGTTCTCATAACCTAATACCCTATGGTCAAGTGACTCAAAATCATCAATCCAAAAATTCATTACAAAGGTCATTTTAGTTACTTAATGGAGAAGAGATTACACATAAGATATAAAAGAAAAATGAGAGGAAAAAAATATGTGTGCTTATTGATAGAGGGAAAAAAAATGTTATACATCGAAAAAATCATTATATGTATTTATTTAAAAGGTCCTAGTTACACTAGATTTGACTTCATATATTAAAGGATATATTCATTCACCATTGATTTTTAAATATCCTTTCTCATTGATTTAAGGTTTTAAGACTTGCTTACAGAAATATAGTAGTACTTATCACACGTTTATTTAGGTTTAAAATATGTTATGTGGGAAATTTTTAATTTTTTATTAACTATGCATGTATAAGCAAGCAAAATAACTGTTCAATATGAAAATTCATGAAAAAAAATTTTAAAAAAGAAATAGTTGGTCTCAAAATTGAAATTTTTTTATTCTCTCATCACATGTTTTTGCCTATTCTTTGTATTATTATACATGTGCATATTTTTTTACTCTCATTCCTCTCTCTATATTTTACATGATTATTACTTGTCTTTCCTTTGTTATTCGTGACAAAAGGAGGAAAAAATGCGTATTTATTTCAGGGAGTTGATTATACGAGTTAGGGAGAGAATTTTAAGAAACTTAATTTTTTTATTGATAGACGACATATGGGGAGCTATTCGATATATTTCCTGAAATTTTATTATTGATATAGTGTTGTGTTTTGTCTATATTGGTATAGAATTCAATGGTTTATTTCTAAGTTTATAATTCACATGATATTGCATATTTCGGCATTACACCTATTTTATTATGTTATTTTATATGTGGTATTGTGGTTTCCATGTGTTTCAAGAAACATATTGACAAGTTACTGAAGTGTAGTCTGGGAAGTCTCTATTAGATAAATTATAGTTGACTTTTGACTTTGAAATAAATGACTTTATCACAGAATGCTAAAGTAAGAGATTGTTAAGTTATAATTAGCAATTTCAAATTTGTAATTGACAATTTCCTAAGTCAAAATTAAATCCTATTTGAATTGTATTAGGAATTTATTGAATTATAATCAATGTCAAAATAGTAAAGTATTAGTAGTATAGGTCTTGAGAGAGTCAAATATGTCCAAACACATCACATATGTTCAATGGAATGCTATTAGAAGTCTAAAGGCTGTCAACGAGTTGCAGAAGTTATGCTCCAATTTCTTAATCGTAACTTGTAATGCATTTTTCACATAGAAATATTTGAATTTGGAGAATGCTATCTTTAGAAGAACTGTAGCCATTAGAGTCATCTTTTCAACGCATTTTAAATCACCTCAATCTGATATCGAAAAAGTTAAGATGAAAATACTAACAATTGCTTAGCTGTTGCACGCCTAGTGCTAGCCTAGAGTTCGAGTGACGAGTTGACGTCCAAAATTCTATTTCGCTTAAAACACCTATTTTTCAATTCATTTTCATCCCAACGTGTGTGTGTGTATCCTTACTTATGATCGTCCCAAAGTGTATTGAATCATAATTATTTCATAAAGATCATTCATTTGAAGATCCAATTCACTTTCATTGATTTCAAGATTGAACCACTATATTATTTGATTCATAGATTCATCAAAACTTAAATTTAACAATCGAGCTATAAACATTCATATTAAACCATAGATCAAAACACACAAGATCGTTAATAAAACACCAAACCCACCTTCGTTAATTAGCTTTCAAAATTATAGGAGTTTTGAGAAGAGACACAAATAGTTCCAGCACTATGGAAAAAGGTTTCATTGGAAGAATGAGGAATTCTTCATTTAATTCATCGAAAATAAATCGATTTCAAGGATCGAAAGCTATTGCAAAAGAAAAAATTCAAAAGGACTAAGGTGAGGTACTGAGTCAGGATTTGGTGTCAGGAGCACACAGTTTAGGAGGACTAAGGTATAAACCAAGAGTCAAGATTTGTTTTGAAAGAACACACCTCTAGTACGATTAAGGGAGACTGCATGAATTGAGGTAAGAAGTTCAATTGTGTAGACATATTTGGACTGTCTTGATTCATATTGAATTACTAACTGACAAAGTACTAGAAGTTTTTACTCAGTTGAAGATTCTCCGTGATCATTTTTAGTGTTCTTTACTACTTTAATTATTAATTATAACATTCAAACCATAGGGTAATTGAATTTGATTGACTAATCACCTAAAAACAATTAAAAGTGATTTGTTGCTCGTTAATTGTTTATTTTTGCACGTTGGGTCTAAATAAATAAATAAACCAACTAGTTGAAAATTTCAAATTTCATCAAAATTTGCCTGGAATGACTACTACATAACAACCGTGTCTTCTGGTTCATGTATTAAGACTTAAAGAGAGGCCCCTCTAGAAGAATGGGCAGAAAAGAATTCATAAGTTTATTGCTTAAACTATAAACAAATTCAACAACTATTGACTCGTGCAATAATGAAATAATTTATTAATTTAATATAAGGGCTTGTCTGTTTTATTCGATTTCTCTAAAGAGTCAGCAAATGCTAACTGTCTTCTCGAGTCAAAATTAACATGAGTAACTTATCCTTGCAAGAAACTGACTTTCCAGCTTAAGAGGTAAGTCGATCGACCCTCGACTCAACTGCAAAAGACACTATTTCACCATTTTATGCGCGCGCACACTCATCGTTGGATACTAAGACCAAACCATAGGACATCACTGCTGCTACACTCGTGTAGTAAAGAAACGTAACGAAGGTCTAATTTACTTAATTTATAAAGATACCGGGCTCGGGATCCAGTTCCTCTACCATCGCGAACCCAGTCAGATTCAAACATGCTGCGCTTTTAAATTATTGGAAGAATTCAAGTACTCTTTCGAATTCAAGAAACAATTTTCAGAGATCTTTTTTCCTTTTGGATTGGAAGTTGGTTCATTCTATCTTTCTGTTCTGCCTTCCTTCCAAGCCAAACACTCCCTGAAGCACAGTTGTTAAAGATCTATGGTAAATCAGAATATAAATGGAAAAAACAGCAATAGAAAACCAAAGAGAAGGAGAAATCATCAAAAAGAACTACTGTTTAACGGTAACATAGCAAGCCGAACATAAGATTCTTGTTCACCCAAGGTCCGAAGACAAGAACCATGCAACAAAACTAGACTTCTAACCCTTGAATTACGGTATTAAGACACGGCATGAACATTATTTATAACACGAAAGGGGAAGGATTAACAACTATGTGCCTCATCGGGTTTTCCACATTGCCACCACCAGCGTGCTTGACAAATTCAGTTGGTGAGTAGAAGTTACCGTGACAAACACATACAATTCTCACCTCGTCCCTCTTCTTGTAACGGTATAAAAGCCCTTGAACCCTAGCACCATTCGGGCCAGTTTCTCTGGTCGAGACAAGAGGCATATCCAGCATGACATTCTTGAGCGTTGCCTCATTTGCATCCTCAGTAACAGCAGCTCCTACTATTGTTCTCTGGGGACTCTGTTTTTGGTTTACTATTGTTCTCGGGGGAATTGGGTTTGGTGAAGACGGGACACTAGATGTGCACTTCAACTCAGCAGCCCTTTGTGTTACTCCTGTAGATCAGTGATATAAAAGAACAAAATAAACAAAAATAACAATTTAAGCAAAAGCTCGATTCCTCATACTTATTTTGCCAAACATGATTCTCAAAGCTATTGTTCACTAATAAAACTTACTTTACCAGCTAGAAAGGAGTGAAATGACTATTTACTTTGCAAAAAGTTTTTACGGGATAATCGAACTTTAAAAATCATCTAATTCATCACTGAACTTTATAAAAAGTTTCCATAAGATCACTGAACTTTATAAAAGATTTTCATGTAGTTACTGAACTTTGCAAAAGGTTTCACAGGGGTCACTATATGAATTAGGTGATTTTTAAAGTTCAGTGATCTCATGGAAATCTTTTGCAAAATTCAATGATGTATTGGATGATTTGTAAAGTTCAGTGACCCTGTCGAAACTTTTTACAAAATTCAGTGACCATTTGAGTAATTCACTCGCTAGAAAGTGACTTTTTAAGCACAGCAAACCTGCATGCTCTAAATTCCAAATATTATCACAGATAACTCCAAGTAAAAAATCAATTGAATGGAGATATTTTTCAACTGCTATAAATTGATATATGATACATAATGGAATAGAATAACAATTTAAGACAACTATATTATCGAATAGAATAACAATTTAAGACAACTTTACACGCCACCCATTAAAACTTAAGTTTTTAAGTGGAGAAACAGTTCAACAACATTTCACTCGCCTGAATGTCCTCACTCTAGCCGTTTAATCATATCCTTATAGTTTACGACAGTAGCCCAGTAGCAAATTCTCCATATATACACATTTTCTAGACACCGAGAGACTTTTCATGCTAAAAAACTTGATAACTGCACAAAATATATATAAAAAATAAAATAAAAAATAAAGCCCTAAATTTATAACAATTAACTATGAGCCCTTTATCATCTTGCAAATCTAAGTCAATCAGGCATTGTGCACTATTATTTCGTTATCACTTTATGTTAGAGTTTTTCTTTATTTAGATGTTTGGCATCATCCCTTAAACATACACACTTAATGTGGCCATAAACGAGAAATATGGAGCTCCCCCCCCCCCACAATCCAAATTAACCCAGCCACCACACCACCACCACACCACAACCCAGCCACCACCCTTACGTACCGGTGCCGGCAAGACCAACTGCCCGGTAGATAGCACAGAACCGGTCTCACGCCACAAATCAACCCCCACAACCACTACTATCTCCCACAGGCGGTGGTCCTTGGTGGAAACCCTAGCGCCGCCACCCGGATCTCATCAGCTGTCCACGACGCGTCTGGGGACGACGCAACCAGCGGCAGCCCAATGAAGAGAATGAATCTTTTTCTCGAAGGATCATCTTGATTAGTTCACAAGATTGAATGGCCAATTCTCCTCCGGACCCTCGATTCAATTGTTTTCCAAGAATGTTGAAATGCCGCGTTGACCGATTGGACGAATCTTACAGAACATGAAAAGCAGGGAAGAGTTAAACCCTGTAAGTCTCGGGAGAAGATGGAAGCGGGGTACTACAAAAATGATGACGGGTTGACTTAGTGGGATTGAACCGGAATGAAGTAGTTACGAGGATTGCAGTAGAACGAGAGGTGGAACCGTTGTCTAAGGAAGGGGAGTCGAGTATGGAGAACTTGGAGACGATGACAATGGGCATTGCGAAAGAAAACGACGAGACATATTCGACATCAAGGATTACGAACACTTATAATAGGAGGACAAGAAAATAATATGGGGACCGAAAAAGCTTTGGTGTTGTGGGTGGATGGTTCCAAGAAGGGAGAAAGCGACAGTGACGTTATACAAGTGGTGGAAGAGAAAGAATGATCCTTTGATCATCTGGAGGGCTATCACAGAGAGGAAACTTCGGAAGCTGATGTGTTTGAAGTTGGACACCCACCTTCGAACTGGGTTCTACAAAAAATTCAGAAATTCAGTAAGATGGTTGGCGTGTTTTGTGATGGATACGAAAATAGACTGTTACAATTATTCGAGGAGCTGGAGGCTAATAAGGGACAAGGGATCAGTACACATGGAGGTAAATTAAGAAGAAAGGGTGATCGCGAACTTAAGAGGCTCGAATGGTCAATAAATTATGCTGGTAAGGGTGGCAAGTCCAAGAAAGAAATAATGGGGAGGGGTGACGGAGTGTTAAAATGATGCTAAAACTCATTTGTTGGAATGTACGGGAGCTCAATGAGGTTGGAAAAAGGCTTGGTGTTCAACATCTGCTAAAGAGATGGGGGCAAACCTTGTATGCTTACAAGAAACTAGAATGGAGTTTATCTCGAGGGCGGTGATTACTAGCTTATGGGGGGAAAACATGTAGGGTATCAGTTTTTGGGGTCATTAGGGGTATCAGGAGGCGTGTTGGTGATGTGGGACACTAGAGTGCTTGAGATGGAAGATGTAAGTATAGGGGTGTTCTCTATATCGATTTCGTTTAAAAATTGTGAGGATAGATTTCGGTGGATGTTCACAGAAGTTTATAGGCCTAATTCTGATGACAGTAGAGTGGGCTTGTGGGATAATCTGGCTGGAATGATGGCTTGGTGGAATCTTCCAACATGTATTGGGGTGATTTCAATGTGATTCGATTTCTTTCTGAGAGGTCAAGTGGTGGGAGACTAACTAGAGCAATGGATGAATTCTCAGATTTTATTAGGGAGAATTTGTTAGTGAATTCACCTATGATTGGGGGAGATTTTACCTAGTCATCTAATCAAGACCAACTCGTCTTATCTCGTATAGATAGGTTCTTAATTTGTGGAGAGTGGGAGTCCAAATACTCAGATATCACTCAGAGAAGATTGGGGAGGATGTACTCGGATCATTTCCCTATTGTGTTATATGGGAATAGGAGGGGTGGTGGAAGAAGGCCATTTAGGTTTGAAAAGATGTGGTTGAAAGTTAAAGGCTTTAGGGAGCGAGTACAGACTTGGTGAACTTCCTATGAAGTCAGTGGGTCTCCCAGTTTTGTATTGGATCAAAAGCTAAAGGCTTTGAAAGAGGACTTAAAGAAATGGAATGAGGAAGTTGTGGACAATATTAATTGTAGTAAAATTCAGTGTCTGTCAGAGATAGAGGAGTTGGATAGGTAGGAGGAGAGTCAAGGGTTAGCTGGGGAGGAGAAGGAGAGACGTAGGGTATTAAAGGAAGAGATGGAGAGGTTGGGGGAGATTGCTTAGCGACAGAAATATAGGGTTACTTGGTTGAAAGAGGGGGATAAATGCACTATGTTTTTCCACAGGGTCGTCAATTCTAATAGGCGGAACAATTCCATCACAATCTTGGAGGTGGATGGGGTTACTTATGAGGAACCACAGGAAATTGGAAGCCAACTGGTGAATTTCTAGCTGGGGAGGAGAAGGAGAGACGTAGGGTATTAAAGGAAGAGATGGAGAGGTTGGGGGAGATTGCTTAGCGACAGAAATATAGGGTTACTTGGTTGAAAGAGGGGGATAAATGCACTATATTTTTCCACAGGGTCGTCAATTCTAATAGGAGGAACAATTCCATCACAATCTTGGAGGTGGATGGGGTTACTTATGAGGAACCACAGGAAATTGGAAGCCAACTGGTGAATTTCTATCAGAACCTCTATCGGGAACAATTTGAATGGAGGCTAGAATTGGAAGGATTGCACTTTTCTACTATCACGGAGGATGTTGCCAGTTGGTTGGAAAGACCATTTGGGAGGATGAAATTAAGGAGGTAGTGTTCAGCATGAACGATGATAAGGCTTCGGAACCGGATGGTTTCTTGTTCTCATTTTACAAGGTGTGCTAGGATGTGGTGCGACCGGATATTGTGGATACTCTATCTTATTATTTTGAACGTGGCAGGTTTTAGAGAAGTTCTAACGCTACATTTGTTGTGCTCATCCCCAAGAAATCGGGAGTGACTGATATTAAGGACTTTCGCCCTATTAGCCTTGTCAGTGGGGTGTATAAAATTATAGCG